CGATCGAGCGGTGCGCCTTCGCTCCTTCCCTCCGACAGAGGGCGCAGATTCCATACACAGATTTAAACCCCTTTTGGGCCTACCGCACAATCGGTATACCCCTAGTGGGTCTGCCGTCTAAAACAGCAGTTGTCTTACCTCCTCGTTCCTGAACCTGAGTTCACACTCATCGACGGGGACACCCCAGCACTTCTTACGTAGAGGCCGATGATCTCCTGGACAACAGACCAGTGGCGCCGAGGCGAAGGGAGGTCCACGCAGAAGTTCAGGGGTGCAGCCGTAGAGAACGTGGGCAAAGATAGACCGTCTCACGCCTCTGCCTCTCAGCTACCGTTGAACGATGAGTTTCCCGGCCAATGCACCAAATGATACCGGAGAAACTGACGGAAGCAAAGCACAGAGAGATGGACACAGGTTTCTTCAGGAAGGAGGAGATTCTTTATTGGATCACCGATCGGGACTCAGAGGGACTAATGTCACCAAAAATACAGCAAGTTCTGAGCCCTGAACAATAGTGCAGGCTCCCTATATAGGCACATAACTCCTCCCATTAATAGCTACACCCACATATACCTTTAACCAATCAATGAGCAGAATATAGACTTGTACATCTAGTCAAACCACATGGCCCATCCAAGACAAAGGAAATAAGTGCAATTTCAGTTCCTGCATTCCTGCACATGCTCAGTACACTGATGACAGTATCCTAGCTACATGTAGCTAACCAACTGACACAACATACACATATGCCACATGGAGATTTTGGCCTACTAAATTTTAACCATGCTGGAATCCCATCACATCACCATGGCTGTGTGGGTGACTGGTAAGCGTACTGGGTGGGTTGCTGAGTGGGCAGAGACCAGCGGTACTCTGTCCTGGTGCCAGCACTACCACGGGAGTAGTCTGGTTGGAGCCTGGTTGCTGGAGGGGGAGACAGACTGTCTCCCCTTTGCCTAAACATTCCTGCTGCTGGGGGACAGGACCAACTGTCCCTACCCCCGGTGGTGCATGTGCAGAGACCACTGTCCCATCTGCACTGTTGTGGAGATTACTGTCTCCCCTTGGTGGGCTAAGCTGCCGCTGGGGAGAGGGGGTAACAAGCTCCTCTCCCATACATACTTTCAGCCGCTGGGGAGAGGGGATAACAAGCTCCTCTCCCTGACACTCTCTCTGCTGTTGAAGGGGGAGACCGACTGTCTCCCCTTTCAATAATTTGTCCTGTTGCTGGGGAGAGGTGATAACTGGTTCCTCTCTCTGGAACACTCTCTGCTGTTGGAGAGGGGGACCAACTGTCTCCCCTTTTAATATATTGTCCTGCTGCTGGGGAGCGAGACCGACTGTCTCCGCTTCCTGCAGGACACACTGCCGCTGGGGAGGAAGGACGGCACCTTCGGCTCCCTGGGGTACACACTGCCGCTGGGGAGGAAGGACTGCACCTTCAGCTCCCTGGGGTACACACTGCCGCTGGGGAGGAAGGACTGCACCTTCAGCTCCCTGGGGTACACACTGCCGCTGGGGAGGAAGGACTGCACCTTCAGCTCCCTGGGGTACACACTGCAGCTGGGGAGGAAGGACGGCACCTTCAGCTCCCTGGGGTACACACTGCCGCTGGGGAGGAAGGACGGCACCTTCAGCTCCCTGGGGTACACACTGCCGCTGGGGAGGAAGGACGGCACCTTCAGCTCCCTGGGATACACACTGCCGCTGGGGAGGAAGGACAGCACCTTCTGCTCCCTGGGGTACACACTGCCGCTGGGGAGGAAGGACGACACCTTCAGCTCCCTGGGACACACACTGCCGCTGGGGAGGAAGGACGACACCTTCAGCTCCCTGGGATACACACTGCCGCTGGGGAGGAAGGACAGCACCTTCTGCTCCCTGGGGTACACACTGCCGCTGGGGAGGAAGGACGGCACCATCAGCTCCCTGGGACACACACTGCCGCTGGGGAGGAAGGACGACACCTTTGGCTCCCTGGGACTCACACTGCCGCTGGGGAGGAAGGACAACACCTTCTGCTCCCTGGGGTACACACTGCCGCTGGGTAGGAAAGACGACACCTTTGGCTCCCTGGGACTCCTTTTTGGCCAAATCTACTAGAGATTGCAGGTATTCTCCTACTAGTTTCCTGGCGAGCTGCACGGCTCTCTCTGGGGGTTGGGTCCAAAGGTAGACAGCACCTCATTAACCTCTCTGTCAAACTCCTCCTGAGTGTAGTCATACGCCATGCTTGCTCTGCTGAAGTTAGTTCTTTTGTAGATAGGGTCGCTGTACGGGTACTAGCGTTGCCCTCAATTTGTAAATCCACGAACTGTGTCTCTGAGCTGCTTTACCTCGCACTAGGACGCCATCCCACCGCTTGCCACCAATGTAACGGATCGCCTGGCACCCCGACTGGGTACCTCCGTTGAAGGATGCTCCTAGCGCTTCCTGAGGTCTCCAAGCACTGCAGCAGACACCACAACCACCAAACCGGAGAAGCATATGAATCCTCTCAAGCATATGAATGCTGTAGACAGTTGAATAGGAACCATACGAATAGGTTTACTCTCCTAGCAGTCAAACTGGAACAGCATACAATAAATCCTTCCCCCAATAATGAGACGACACTTCACTTTGAGGGTTAAGCAGGAACTCCCTGTACTGTCACATACAGTCTCTTTTATTCCCAATCCACAAACATAGTACAGCCCACAGGGCGTTACAAAACAGCCAATCAATCCATACAATACACCCAGACACTCCCACACAAAATCCTCCCCTCTGGCTGTGATATGATTACTGAACACAATGGGTAATCTAATTATCACAGCCAGAGAAATACAGTTTCATAAAACACATGACAGAGACCCCAAAACATGCAATAACCATGTGCTTCTGATACAGGAAATGGTGGCCACCCAGTAACTCCACAGTATGTCCCCAGATGGTTCTTAAAGGGCCAGCAGCAGCACAACACAAATCCATTATGCCCAAATCATGTCTTTAAAGGGCAATACATCCCAGGGGCAGGGCCAGATTAAGAGCCCAGTGGGCCTGGTGCTGACAATCATGACAGGCCTTATTACAGAATCATATCGACCAAAAACAGTAAAACACTCCCAAGCATCATGATGGAGATGGTGCTGGAGAGAAAGAAAACAGCAGCTATAAGAAAACACATACCCTAGGCTAATCTCTCTCTAATTTATGCTTTCATCTTTCAAGTAAATCCATAACCCCTAACAGCAGTGTCCAGTCAAGCAGGAAGTCAATGGGCATGGTAAAAGGGTGTGCCACTGACACAAATCACGTAACCTGCCAAAAGGGGTGAACATGCCCAAAAAGAGGACATGTCTGCTCAAAGAATTAAAAGGCCAGCCTGGCATGAATGCATGTCAGGCTGCCTGCCAATCATGCAGCTGGCCAACTAAGGGCATACTATGCAGACAGCACCCTGAGCTTGGCATAAATGCATCTAATGATGCGCTAGCTCAACGCTTTCTAAGGACTGTCCCCTAGCACTCGCTGGTCCTCTTGTCTCCTTACTAGCAGGCAGAAGCTCCTGGTATATAGTCTGGGACAGAAAAAAAGCTGTATGTAGTGAGTGTAGAAGAAAGGGAACATGCCACAGTGTTAGAGAGACCAAGCATTACCTTAACCCCTTAAGGACCAAACTTTTGAAATAAAAGGGAATCATGACATGTCACACATGTCATGTGTCCTTAAGGGGTTAAAGGATCACTATAGGGTCAGTAACACAAACATGAATGCATGACCCTATAGTGTTAACACCACCATCTAGCCCCCCTGGGCCCCTCATGCCTCCATAAATATAGCAAAATCTGCTACAAGCAGTCTGCTGACATCATTAGAAGTGGTGGCCTGATCCAATCACAGTGCTTCCCCATAGGATTGGCTGAGACTGACAAAGAGGCAGATCAGGGGCAGAGCCAGCATGATTCAAACACAGCCCTGACCAATCAGCATCTCCTCATAGAGATGAATTGAATCAGTGAATCTCTATGAGGAAAGTTCAGTGTCTGCATGCAGAGGGAGGAGACACTGAATGTTTGGATGCCTTTTAGGCAGCCATGACCCAGGAAGGATCTCTAACAGCCATCTAAGGAGTGGCCAGTGAAGTTATCACTAGGCTGTAATGCAAAGACTGCATTTTCTCCGAAAAGACAGTGTTTACAGCAAAAAGCCTGACGGTAATGATTCTACTCACCAGAACTAATTCAATAAGCTGTAGTTGTTCTGGTGACTCTAGTGTCCCTTTAACTATATTCATTGTCAGCCAGTCCACACAAGTTTTGTTCCCATACATCCCTCTTAAGTTTCCATACTTAAGTAAGAGTATGTGAAAAGTAGTTGGGGTTGCCACCTTTCGTGGAAAAACATACCGGCCTTGCTAATTTGCATAATTAAATATGTATGGGTGACATCACATGATGTAAATCACAAGGAGTGACATAAGAGAAAATGCTGTAAAATCACCAAAAAACTACTTAGTTTGATTCTGCTGTATAGATGGATTCCTCCCAGTGGCCCCATGTCTCCCAGTGCCCCATGTGTCGATTACTCCAGGTCTCAGTGTTCCTATGTATCAGTGTCTCAGTGCTCCATGTCTCCCAGTGTCCCCTAGTGTCGTGTCCCCAGGTCTCCCAGTGATCCTATGTATCACAGTGTCTCAATGCCCCATGTCTCCCTGTGTCCCCATGTATCCCAGGATCCCCATGTCACTAGAAAGAAGGGAAGACCTGGGGACACAGGGAGACCTAGGGACATGGAGACACCAGTGACACTGGGAGACTAGGGGACTCTGGCTGGGACGCATGGGGACACTGGGAAAATAGGGGACACTTGAAGACATGGGGACACAGACACCAGGGACACAGACTCTAGAGACACTGGCTGGGGGACATGGGGACATTGAGACATGGGGGCACTGGGAGACATGGGGACAAGGAGACACCAGGGCCACAGACACTAGGGACACTTGCTTGGTGACATGGGGACATTGAGACACTTGAGGCACTGGGAGACATGGAGGCACTAGGAGACATGGGGACAGTGAGACACTGGCAGACTGGGGGCACTGGGAGACTAGGGGGCACTGAGACACCAGGGACACTGGCTGGGAGACATGGGGACACTGGGAGACATGGGAACACTGTGTCCCCATGTGTCTGTGTCATAATGTCTCCCAATGTCCCTTAGAGTCTCAGTGTCCCCATGTCTCCTTGCAGCCTTTCTCCCATCCCTTACTTCCCTGAGCTGTAGGCTGTCTCTGCAGGGTGGGAGTTGCTGTCTGGAATCTCTGTAGCTGCACCCCTGCAGATCAGTGAGTAGAGAGAGGCAGGGAGGGATATGCTGGAACTTCCTATCCCTGCCTGTCTCCACACACAGTGACCCCTACTGGCCAGTGCTGGTATTGCATAGTAATCTCTTGTTTATACTGAGAAAAATACCAGCATTTGTATTGCCAGTATCACTGTAATATTGGCACCAGCCAGGCAGCCTCAAATACTGGCTGTGCTAATAAAATTAAAGCCAGGTGGAATCCCTAAGAGTAGTGTGTGAAAAAAAAAAAAAATGTAAAAAAAAAATATATATATCTTTTTTTTTATTTTTTTTTATTTTTATAAATCAATGGGCCTATTCCATGGGCCTGGGCCTAGAGCTGCAGCTCCATCAGCCCCTATGTTAATCCGGCCCTGCAGACACCAGGGACACAGACACTAGAGACACTGGCTGGGGGACATGGGGGCACTGGGAGACATGGGGACAAGGAGACACCAGGGCCACATTCACTAGGGACACTAGCTTGGAGACATGGGGACATTGAGGCACTGGGAGACATGGAGGCACTAGGAGACATGGGGACAGTGAGACACTGGCAGACTCTGGGCACTGGGAGACTAGGGGGAACTGAGACACCAGGGACACTGGCTGGGAGACATGGGGACACTGGGAGACATGGGGACACTGTGCCCCCATGTGTCTGTGTCATAATGTCTCCCAATTTCCCTTAGTGTCTCAGTGTCCCCATGTCTCCTTGCAGCCTTCCCCCCCCCCCATTCCTTACTTCCCTGAGCTGTAGGCTGTCTCTGCAGGGTGGGAGTTGCTGTCTGGACTCTCTGTAGCTGCACCCCTGCAGATCAGTGAGTATAGATAGGCAGGGAGGGATATGCTGGAACTTCCTATCACTGCCTGTCTCCACACACAGTGACCCTACTGGCCTGTGCTGGTATTGCATAGTAATCTCTTGTTTATACTGAGAAAAATACCAGCATTTGTATTGCCAGTATCACTGTAATATTTGCACCAGCCAGGCAGCCTCAAATACTAGCTGTGCCAATAAAATAAAAGCCAGGTGGAATTCCTAAGAGTAGTGTGTGAAAAAAAAAATGTTAAAAAAAAAAAAAATTTTTTTTTTTTTTTATAAATCTATGGGCCTATTCCATGGGCCTGGGCCTGGAGCTGCAGCTCCATCAGCCCCTATGTTAATCCGGCCCTGCCCAGGGGCCATAGTCACATGGCAGGAGGCTGGCAACCAGGCTTCTCCAGTGCATAGTGGCGAGGTTGGTTCCGCCACAAATATATATAAAAACAGTCGATATTATGGTGGTGATTCCTTAAAGTGCCAGTGCTCACATTCACCAACAAGTGAAAAGAAGTGCTGAATATCTGACATATATCCTGATCCATTAAACACTCGCAGCCCTGGACTAATGATGATGTAAAACTAAAAATAATACTGATAACCTGTAAAAAGCCTATATTAAGAAATGACAAAGTTCGAAATCATCATTCAGGACATTAGGCTGCATAGTGTTTAAATTAAAAATCCACTGCATTTCTTTTTTGCTCAATTTCTTAATAAAATCACCCCCCTCCAATCTGGTAATATTCTCTGCATCGCATGGAATTGTAGTCCAATGGGGTCGCAATCATGTTTATTTTTAAAATGTAAAGAAACGCTGTGTTTTTCAAAACCATTCCTAATATTCCTGATATGTTCCTGTATTCTGGTATGCAAATTCCTTTTCGTACGTCCTACATATGCCAGCCCACAAGGACATGTCAAAAGATAAATGACCTTCGTGGATTGGCATGTAATTAATTCTTTTATTTTGAATGAAATTTTCACATTATGGGGGTGCAGGAACTCTTTTATTATTCTCTTCTTACTTCCAGAATTTCTGCAGGCCCCACAGTGCCCACAGCCATAAAAACCTTTTGATTCATTTAAAAAATTGCTTCTATGTCTTCTTGGAGGGATATGGTTAGACGTATTTTTCAAATTTTTCACTCCTCTATAGATTATTCTTGGTTTCTCAGGAAGAATATTAATTAAAAGGGGATAATTTCTTAAAATTGGCCAATATTTAGAGACTATTCTCCTAAAGTCCCTGCTTTTGCAATTAAAATCACAAATCAATCCTAATGTTTAAACTTCTTCTTTATTCTTAGCATTATACTTAATTAAATCATTTCTATCTTTTGATTCTACCTCCTTGAGTGCCCTTATCAACAATGTCTCGTTATACCCTTTTTCTTTAAAATCCTCCATGATTTTATGGGATTGTGTTTGAAATTTTGACTCCTCTGTACAATTACGTCTTATCCTAAGTAGCTGCACTTTCGGGGCATTCAATAGCCATGGAGAGAAATGACAACTGTTCTCTTCAATGTAGCTATTGACATCTACAGGTTTAAAATAAGTGCAAGTTTTTAATTCATTATTTTCCACGTAGATCTGTAGATCAAGGAATTCTACTTGAATTTTGCTATAATTAAATATTAATTTGATGCCCCAATCATTGCTGTTCAAATAGGTTAGAAAAGACCCTAGAGAGGTTTCATCTTCTTGCCAAATAAAGAATATATCATCTATGTAGCGACGGTAGGCTACGAGGTTCGCGCTCCATTCACCTTCACTATATATAAAATTCTGTTCCTATAGGGCAATGAATAGATTTGCGTAACTGGGCGCGAACCTCGTGCCCATCGCCGTTCCACATATCTGCAAATAAAGAGTTGTTGAACCAAAAATAGTTATTATTCAGTATCCATCTGATACTTTTGACTAAAAAATCTATTTGTCCACTAGGAAATGTTCCTGACTCTTGTAAAAAATGTTCCATAGCTTGACACCCCTTATCATGAGAAATAATAGTATATAGTGAACTCACGTCTGCTGTCACTAAAAAGCTACCTTCTTTCCACTGATGATTAGTCAATACCTGGAAAATACTAGAAGTATCCTTTAAATAACTTGGACTCTTAATAACCACTGGTTGGAGGCATCTATCAACGTATTGGGATAATCTGCTCGAAATCGAGCCTATCCCAGATACGATGGGTCTCCCAGGGGGTTTTAGCCTATCTTTGTGGATCTTAGGAAGGTGATAAAATAATAATTTAGAAACTTGTGTTCTTTCTCATTTAAAATGTCAGATCCCTCCTCTATAAGGAGTGTGTGTGGAACAGGAGTTTCTGTTTCCTGTACCCGGTCGGACTGACAGGAAGGTGCACACTGAGCGTGCACCTTCCTATCAGTCCGGCCGGCCGGCCACCGCGGACGGCAGAGCGGCTCGGCCACGCTACAGGAGGAGTAAGAAGAGGAGGGGGCTAAGAAGAGAGGGAGGGGGGCTAAGAAGAGGGGCTAAGAGAGGGGGAAGAGGGGGGGCTAAGAAAGAGGGGAGAGGGGCTACTTTCACCAGAGGGAGGGCTAGAAAGAGAGGAGGGGGCTAGAAAGAGGAGGGGGCTAAGAAAGAGGAGGGAGGGCTAGAGGGGAGGGTAACAGGGGAGTAGAAAGAGTAGAGGGGAGGGGTAAGAAGGGAGTAGAGGGGGGAGTAAGAAAGGGGGGGTAAGAAGTTCTGAAATTTAAAGGACCACTCTAGGCACCCAGACCACTTCAGTTTAATGAAGTGGTCTGGGTGCCAGGTCCCTCTAGGATTAACCCTTTTTTTTTTATAAACATAGCAGTTTCAGAGAAACTGCTATGTTTATGTTAGGGTTAATCCAGCCTCTAGTGACTGTCTCATTGACAGCCGCTAGAGGCGCTTGCGTGCTTCTCACTGTGAAAATCACAGTGAGAGCACGCAAGCGTCCATAGGATGAATGCGCGCGCGGCTCCTGTGCATTCAGCCGATGACGTCGCGAGCAAGGAGGAGAGGAGGAGTACAGCTCCCCACCCGGCGCTGGAGAAAGGTAAGTGTTTAACCCCTTCCTCTCTCCAGAGCCCAGCGGGAGGGGGTCCCTGAGGGTGTATAACACGCACCTCATTTTAAGAAGGAAATTTCAGGGAAAAAAAACTTAAAGGACCACTATAGTGCCAGGAAAACATACTCGTTTTCCTGGCACTATAGTGGTCCTTTAAGTTTTTTTTCCCTGAAATTTCCTTCTTAAAATGAGGTGCGTGTTATACGCCGGTGCGTGTTATACGCCGATAAATACGGTATGTCAAAATCATCCAAATTGGTCCAGTGGTTCAAAAGATAGATCGTAGTTCTTTGTGACCAAAGGAAGCATGGCTTTTCTGCCCAAAACCAGTTCCACAGAGTCTTCTATCCTGGAGATAATTGGGAAGTAATCAAATTATCTCCAAGGACAGAGGCAAAACTCCATTGAACACAGGGCAGCAAAACACAATAAAACACATAAAAACATATAACTGTGCAGCCATTGTACAAAACAGGTACATTCAACATATCCCCAGATAGCTTAGATCTGTGCGCACATTATTACCGGATGGCGCTCAGAGCACACACATACAGTTCAATTGCCATGGAGCCACAGTCTTTCCCATAGTCTTTCATTATACGAATGGGCTCCATGGCATAGCTATCTGGGGTATCACCGCTCAAACAGGGCCAGCACTGAATGACCCGGCTTTCGTGTCTCCACAGGGGAAAATCAAGCATTTTATCATGGGGCCATAGTCAAGAGGCAACAGACGAGCAACCAGGCTTCTCCCATGCAATGTGGCGAGATTGCTCTCGTCACAGTGTCTTTGTATGTATGTGTCTTGTGTGTTTGTCTGCCTGTGTGTTTGTATGTGTGCCTGTCTGTCTGTATTTGTGTGTGTCTGTATGTGTGTCTGTCTGTTTGTATGTGTCTGTGTGCCTGTCTGTGTTTCGGTCTGTATGTTTGTGTCTGTCTGTCTGTATGTATATATGTGTGCCTGTCTCTTTGTGTGTATGTGTCTATGTGTGCGTGTGTGTCTCTATATATATATATGTGTGTGTGTGTCTGTCGGGGGAGGAATAGGGAGGGGGGCCCACGGATCATTTTCGCACCGGGGCCTCATGGTTTGTTTGTACGCCACTGCATAGCATCACAGTGATACCTCGATTCAGTTCATGTATTCTGCTTACTGTATTCTGCCCTCATTCGGATATGGCGAGTTTCACTACTAACGTGAATTCAGCCTATTTCAATCATACATAGCGTCACAGTGATACCTCGATTCGGTTCATGTCCCGAACGGTTCGCCAGCGAATAGTTCCCGAACGGTTGTGATGTCCTGAACGGTTCGCCAGCGAATAGTTCCTGGCGAACATCGCGCTGTTCGGTCCGCCCCCTATTCGTCATCATTGAGTAAACTTTGACCCTGTACCTCACAGTCAGCAGACACATTCCAGCCAATCAGCAGCAGACCCTCCCTCCCAGACCCTCCCACCTCCTGGACAGCATCCATTTTACATTCATTGTGAAGCTGCATTCTTAGTGAGAGGAGGGACAGTGTAGCAGCTGCTGATTTGATAGGGAAATTGATAGCTAGGCTAGTGTATTCAGTGTCCACTACAGTCCTGAAGGACTCATCTGATCTCTATGACCTCACTACCCCCCACACCCTCAGCCTCGCTACCCCCCACCACCCTCAACATCACCACCCCCCCACCACCCTCAGCCTCACTACCCCACCCCCACACCCCTCAGCCTCGCTACCCA